TATGAAATATGGTAGATCCAGTTATTCCAAGTATAATTCTTTTAGGATCTAGGACTAGTAATAGAACCGCACATACAAAATCATTTGGGCTCTTGGTTTTTTTCGGTTAGATAGAAAATGGTAGGAAAATTTACCGCTGAACTGAAATTTCTTTGTAAATCAAGTTATTTCTTTTTGGTTTGGGAAAATTTGCTAATTAATTGGTAGGTATTTCTTAAAATTTTAAATATTCGACCACCATTTCGTACTATTTTTGATTAACCTGCTGTCTTTTGGACGAGTTCGCGAAATTTTATAGGAGGAAAGACCATACCAGTATTTTCACAGAATGTAAACAGCGAAACAAGCGTCACAACTGTCAGGAGGATTTCAATTGATAAACCACACTGTTTCAGGATTAACAGCATAAGGGAGTAGTCATTTGCTACATCAGAATCTTGAAATATGGGCAATTTATTCTCCTCGCTGTTTTGGTATTACAGCTTCCTTTCCCCCTCAAAAAAGGAGAGAAACTGTGTCAAAAAAAAGAAAGCTTAAAAAAAACAGTACGAGAAGAGCGACTTAGCACAGTGTCCTGATTGCTGCAGATTTTAAATTGAGGCACAAGAGACTGCAAAAAAACAATTTGAATTAGCCAAAAAAAAAAAATAAGGCAAAAAAGCTGAGGTAAAATGAGGCAAAAGATTGCAGAAATTTTTAACAAGCAAAACAGAAAAAAGAAAAGGAGCACAAACTGAAGCAAAATGAGAACTCACCTCGGCTCTCAAAGCACTTGGGGAAAGGATCATCGAAGTCAGAGCGATCGGACTCAGAACAGAAGCTCCAATTGCATGTGGTGATAACGTCCGTATCTGTAAAAAGTGTCAAAATCCGTTAAGGTGTTGTTGCCTTGTTGTTCCATGGGAGATATTACATGAAGAACATACACCGATAGCTTCCGGATAAAGCACTTCCATAACAAAAGCATATGGCGAGAGTGTGAGTATTTCAAGTGCGCTACCGTAACCGATGTAGCTCGAGAACGCAACCGTCTCAAATGTATGAAATACACCCTGAAAAATAGATTGGTTCCAATTAAACTGATGTTTTTTTCCTGAAATCCGTCTCTTTTGATTGCGCCTTCCGTCGACGAGCCGAGAAATCACGATAACTTGTTGCATAATACTTAACGGTGTGCTACGAAATCACGATAATCTAGCACATAGAATCTTGATAATCTAACAAGCAAAATCGCGTCACACCTATAAAACGTTAATTGACGATGTATTGCAAGCAGTAAGAAGGTATACTAAAAACTGTTGAAAAGAGATGAACCGAGGGGAAGGTAAGAGATGAATAATTACAAAATTTATAAATTAATAAAACTATTTTAATGGTAAGAGATGTTTCGGTCCATTAAGTCGTAAAGCACGACAACCCGACGTATGATACTTGGCGGTATTCCAATTATGCTTGAATTCAGGGCTCCGTCGACCATTTTTTTGCACCCTCATATGTGTTTCTTCTGCCATCCTTTGATTTTGATGCTGGTGTTACTCAGAGAAGGAGGACAGTTGCTGTTTGCTTTTCCCAGAGTGCATCAATATACGAATAAACCCGGGATCCGTCTTTGGTTTACGATAATTAGCAAACGTGCATGTTCTGTTTCATTCTGCTTATGATGCCGTTTAAACCGAGTCCCGTGACCGCGTTGCGCAGCACGTCTCGAAAGCAGTGCGAGGGCTCGAATTTTGGTTTCGATAATTTCTTCCTTCTCAGCGTCACTCATCTGATTGTATCGATCCAAATCTAACTGCAAATCTGAAAATTTGAAGAAAAAAAGAATTTCTTTTTAGAGCGATGAACTTTACCAATTTAGAAAACATGGAATTTTAACAGGTCGGTGAGTTCCAATTATATAGCTATTCTAACTTATTTCTGTGAAAAAAAAAAACCGTTGGAACATGAAGATTATGTTATGTGTTCGTACCTTCCGCTGCTTCACCATAAATGAGACGAAGCTGCTCGGCCGACAAATACGTGTAGCCCTGGCGGTTAAGATCTGCTTTTTGTCGTGCTGAAAACAGAGACTAAGATCTGTAAACTGCATTTGTAAAATAGTGCTACTTCTGGGTGTAAAGTTAATCAGTTATTAAGCATCGCCAGCCATCAAGGATTTGGAAAAAATGGTCAAAATTTGGATTTTACTAAATGGATTGTACTAAATTTACTAAATGGTTTTTTGGTCAGAAGCACTAGTCAACGCTTTTGCCGTCTTGAAATGTCACTGGCATATGTTTGGCATCACCACGCTGTCTTGCATGCTACCACGTCTAGGCTATGTTTGCATCAGCTAAGAGCTTAATCTTATTAATTCACCTAGTTAACTTTTCCGAATTTATTGTCCTATCGCTCTTTATTGAGGCTTGGTAGAACCTGGTTTTCTGCTTCTTCGGTAAAACTCTATCTTTAAATCATCCAAAAGCGCTTCCGTCCGAGTATTTCTGGCTTCCTTTTTCTACTGTTCAAATAATATGAATTCGGTTAGCCAGGAAATTTCGGCCACTTTCTTTCCTTTCTGTTTAACAAGCATGGGTCTTTCTAGTAAAAAAGATTTTTATTAGGCTTGAATAGCATTATTAAGGGTATTCCGTGTGATAAGCCTTAAATACAGACCAGAATATCTTTTCAAAGCTTCTTCCCAGTTCTTTTCGTTTGCAATTAGTCTTTTGATCGCTGGATACTGAAAGTTCTCCAGCTGTCGCCTTCCTGATTCAATCGCATTAATAAGTTTGTCTAGAGCTTTCGAGGCACCACTCAATTCCAATAATAATTCGAGCAAGAATCGATGAGTACTTGTCGAAGAGGTTATCTGTAAGCCACCGCATCAATTAATCTAAAACTGCTGATTGCGATAATGAACTTGAATGGTTAAGGTATGTCCTAAACTTTTATTATGATATTTTTATGTTTAATATCTTTATTAGTTACCACAGCCTCCGTACTGACGAATTCCAGTTGTCTGGAACGTATGCGACTTAGTGGATCGAAACATGCCAGTTCAGGGCTACTTTTTCTATTTTTTATTGCATTTGTTAGTATTATTTATTATTTATTACTATAACTCATTAGATTATTTGACATACTTAGACTATTTAGATTAGTTATCGTAATCCAATGTAGGTCAGGATCAAAGCAACTGATTCTTTCAAAGCAAAACAGATAGTGGGATAGGCAAGAATCAAACCCGACGTTAGCTTACTTGTAAGCAACCTTCATAACAGAGACTCATCAATAGTCTTGTCAGCAGTGGTTACCGTCGACACTTGTTGCCATTAGCTTCCGAGTGGCTTCGCCTCTTTCAGAAAGTGGATGATAGGAAGGTGATTTTGACAGCTTTTTTTTACTTTTGACAAATAGAAAACCTTCTAAAATGTAAAATATATTTCTTCAACCAGTTCAACAGACGAGTATAGTACACTCATTACTGCACCAATTACTAATATACATTTATTTCTCGAGGTTTCATTCAGTTTTATACTGATAATCATATTACCTTTAGTAAATCAGGGATCGAGAGAAGTCCATCTTGCTGGAAGCTGAACATCGTTGGTGAAAGCAAATGCCGTCTTTCTCTGTCCGGTATTATCGAGAAAAAACGTGGTGACATTACGGAAATCGATTTACCGCCCATTGCTTCCTGTGATTAACTTATTTCTGACATCCACATGCAAAAGTCTTCATGCTGATTACAAAAAAGCTTCTACACTGCCAAAACTAGTTCTTTCGTTTGAAAATATATTCAGGCTAATCTAACTGTAAATCTGACCACTGATCGTAAAAATCAATGTCTGAAAGACAAAAACTGAGGAGTTGAAACCGCAATCAGCTTGCTTCTGAGGTTCCAAAAAAGATAACCATCGATAGTTTTGATTGGTACTAAATTAGTTATAAAAAGGATAACCTGGAACAAGTTAACAGTGTCAACGATGTCCTGCAGTAGTCGATCATCGTTCGCATTTTTTAATTTACCAACGTAGCTTTCAATTGGCAAACGTACATCTCGTAGAAACCTGAAAGCAAAAGTGCGCTCTAAAATTAACCACGAAGACTTTTAACTAATCTAACGTTTCAGGAACCTGCATACTCGTACACAGTGCATAATGATCATTGTTCCTAGCGTCGCATTTCTGTTCAGCCATTTCAGCGTCTGCCAAGATGAATTACCTGGTGAAACTATAAGAGAAAGGACCCCTTTTGAAGAAAATTAATCAAGAGGAGATCAGGCTACGCATTTTCACTATCTCCAAATCCTTAAAATCGGAATATGTCAACCACTGTTATTACTGATCCCTATACTCTGTGTCTAACAGTTGGAAATCTAGAGCCTTTGTGGATATTACTCACACACACAAGCAATGCAGTGTTTGACGGTGCTACTACAGTTACCCCATTTTCCAGTTTTTGCCGGCTTTCCGCGAGTTTTCGTGGTGAATGCTATGAATCACATTTACACATGTGTCGGCAGGTCAGCGATCAACGTTTTTATGCGGCAAATGTTTCATTTCAGCAGTGCACTGTTTGAAACAAAACATTATGAAGTCCTTAATAAGTTATTCAGATAAATTTCATTAACTGAGATGACAGGTGAGAACAGCATTACCTCGTATTATGCGCATTCATTCGTTCAATAAAATTGTTAATTAGATCAACTTTGGCATAATAGTCATGTGCAATTTGCAACTTTTGCACATTTCTCATTTCGATCTTCCCCGGGCTCCCTCCTAAAAAAAACAAAATTATATAATTAAAAAATTATGCGCTGTTTAGTTCAATTAAACTACCTAGTCAGCTGTAACTGTGATAAACGACCACTCGCAAAACTAACAGAATCACTTAAAATTTAAGATTTTTTCACTTAAGATTCTTCCGAACGATAAGAACTTCCGTAGCTGTTTTGCAAACTGCATTATGTGAAAAAAAAAATTTCATTACCGAGAAGTGCTCGCAAATACGCAGTAGTCAGCGCTACTAACGCAGTTGAATTCAGCCGTTCCTTCAACTTGCCTAAATCAAATCTTTATTATTGTTATTATTATTATTGTTATTATTATTGTTGCAATAATAATGGTGGCATTAATGACTATAATAACAGCATTAACAACAACAATAATAATAATAACATAGAAGTGGTAACATTAATGGTCGTTGAAAGCCATGAGAATAGGTTCCAGCGACCTAGTGATGTGTTACCCCTACATGAACAAAGTGATTAGCTGATAAACAAATTATTCATTTGATAATCGTTGTCTTACTTTTGAAAAAATTTAGTAGCTGCCGTTTTCTCCTTGTCCTATATTTAGCTGGCTTGGTTTTTTGCATCGATCTCCGTTCACTTTTCAGGTGAGTTTTCTTTTCAAACCTAAAAAGCTATTGACGGATTTTTCGAGGCTTCTTGAAGAAACTCTTAAGAAAACGAAAAAGTAAAGCTGAAAATAACCTTCGCAAAACAGACATGACAGCCTTCATCCTGTTCCTTAAATGCCGAGAGCGCACGCTGGCATTTCCTTGCTTCTCGCGTTTTGTAGCGCCACTTTGAAGCGCAGTAAGTGGCTAAAATAATACCATAATCGAAAAATACTGTATTGGGTACTGTGAAATACTGTAGAAAAAAAGAAAGGATTTAAAAAAGTTGCGTGAATTGGTATAACCCATGGAAAAAATCGTCCTGCAGCTTCTGGCACGATGACCTTGGGCCTAGCTCTCTTTACTCATGGGTGAATGGAATACACTTAAAAAAGTTCCTCTTTTTCGTTCACGAAAAACCGCTGCACTGCGAAGATTCATGGTACCATTTGTAGTACATCCTGGCTTGGTCACTAAGTCCATGGCTTGAAATAAATTGCTTTAAAAAAATGAAGAGAGGAAGAAAGTCTGTGTTAAGAAGGGCACCGACCGGGAGAAGGAAGAGGGAAAATATGGAATTAACAAAAAAAATTTTCCCCTAAAATCTCTGAAACTTTGTTAATTCATAGTTTGGTTCTCCAGCTATGCAACTGAGAACTTTTCCAGTCGGACTGGTCCGGTGGTGGCTAGCTATCAGAAAGAACTGAGCATTTACCTTAAACTGTTTAGGTATATATGGCGACACAAATGAATGATAAAACTCCTTGGCACCAAATGGCCCTCCGATGCCTCGTTCTCCCTCACTCATATTTTGAGTGAGTGGAGATCTGAGAACTGCTGGGGCTGCGCTGTTTCCATAGTATGTGATATTTGATCGAATTTGCCACCGCTTAGTATTCGCCGATTTTACAAGCCAGGAGTGTACTTGCTTCAGCCAGTTGCGCACCTCTTCATTGAGATATTCAAAACCAGGAATGAACGAATACTTCACTGTAGGAATGTCTAAATTTTTGAATCACTTTTATTGGAATAAATCTGCAAAAACGATTTAAAATTTACCCGGATTTCCAGTAACACAAATTACAAAGTTTCTTTTCCAATATTGCATTTTCAAGTTTTTTAGTTTTTCCCTATTTTTTTTTAATTTACCAAAGATCTGTGATAATAGGAAAAATTTATTTTGTTTATTGGATCATTCGAATATAAAATCCGCATCATGCCGTTACGTTCACTGTAATTAGACTCACAGAAATTTGAAATTGAAAAGCCGAAGGAACTCAAGTTTTCTTGATCAGAATCATCAGTATGTCTCCTCGACTGCAGTGGTTCTCGAAAAGAAGGGGGACTGATTGTCTCACTCATACAGTCGTTTTCTCGACCTCCTGAGTCCTTCATTATCTCTTTTTTTTTCATGAAGCTCCTTATGCTACAAATATTTTTGATTGGTGATTCTCATTGTGGTAATGTTTTTCCAGGAACAAGCAAATACGCCGTGCTTTGTAGGAAACACTTTGTTGCCTGCTCAGGACCTATTTAAGCTACTAAAACCAAATCTCAGTCCCTGAATTCGGTAATCTTTAGATTTATTTCAGTGTGCTTGTAAAATTTTTTACGCGGATAGTGATCCCATTCTTTATTCATAAAGCCACCAACTTGCTTCTATGCAACGCTCGAAGAGAAAGCCATCGACAGCCTTGCCACCAGATGGTTGTTTTTGGTATTTGCTACCTTTCGAATACTTTCGAGTGTCTCCACTCTCAGAGCAGTGAAAATGAAAGGGATTTTTGACTTTTTTCTTTGGCACGGTGAAAACCAAAACAGCCGCTTCAAAAACTAAAGTAGGGTAAGATTCTCGATGAAAATAGATAAAGTAGTGAAAAAGCAGGCCTTTGTTGGAATCGCGCTGTCGACGTGAGGACCGAAGCGTGTCGCGAGCATCGAGAAGTGTGACCACACAAATGGACAGTTCGACAACCGATTTTGCTTCATTTTCACATCGTTCATAGAGGAAATAATCATTTTTTGATGTCGCTGAGCGCAATGTCCGGGCTTTCGCCTAAGCTATTCTCTGCTTTTAATTGCTATCTTTGTAGCTGACAACTTTTTCAATTACTTTGACCAATGGCCACTTAGTAGCCACCTTACTGGCGACTCTGTGTTGCTTCTGTATCTAATCCCGTCTTCTTACTTGACTGTAAAGATATAATAGTAAATCCTGCTTTAATTTTTCGTTTTTCAGTACCGTCTAGCTTTAACTGAAAATTGATTTTGTCCTCACTTCAATCGAATTTGTTATACCTGTACGTCTTTTTCTGATATTTCTAAACTCATTTTACCTCATTTCTTAATTTCTACAAGGCTACGATGCAAGCAAAGCGAAAGAGACTTCCTCGAATACCCTGATACCGCTAAAGTCAAGTCCTAGAATTTCACTACAGCAAAAGATTGAATAAATAAATATATAAGCCCCTTAGGAGAAATAATAGAAAAATCCTGTCTCTTAGTCAACCCTCCCCTCCCCTTGTCCCAAATATATAACTCAAATAAATTACACCACGGTAGAGTGCTAAGAATTACAATGGTGTGTGTAAATTTTACAAAAATTTGCTCCTTGCTACTTGAAAAACAGCAGTTCTCTCAATTTTATTCGAAATTGGTAGATAATTCCCCCGTAACAAATAATCATACAGATCAGAACAGACAAACAAAAAAAAAAAACATGCGAAAACAAATAAAAGGAAAACAACAGATACCTTTAAAAAACATTTGATAGCGCTGGCATACCAAAAATCACGTAATTTTTCAAAATTCATTGAAAAACTTTTTCTTTCCATACCTAAACAGATTTGGAGCTGATCAAAAAAATCAGATTTCTAGTTCCAGGGCCTAGAAGTAGTAAAATTCAAGACAGGATGGGGATGTACAATA